CCTTGCCACAGAGGACTCTGCTGCCCCACAGTCTGGCGTGGCCAACAGCCCTGCCATTCTCTACACGGAGATCATGCCTCTGCAACAGGTGGGTCTAAGGGGACGAAGCAGGTCAGAGGCCGAGCGTCCCAGGAGGCCGAGGGCACTCTGCTCCCCATCAGGCTCTGGGCCCCGTTCTTGCTTTGGACAATATAGTCGCTGTACCTGGTGCCCACGGCATGGTGGTAGCCGAGACACAAGGGGAGGGCCCCTCACTTGTACGTCCACAGTTTCAACAGATCCTGGGGGGGGGGGGGCGGGCAAAAGTGTAAATGACCAGGTTTCTGGTGGGACCCTGCTGTTTATGTGAGACCCAAGGCAGTAAAAGTAGGGACACTAGCGGGGCCTGCAGACAGGGACCCGAGGAGCAGCACAAGGCCCCATCTTCCTCCCCGCCTGTAGTCCCTCTCTCCCTCCCACCTGCTTTGGGTAAAGGCAGTGTTGCTCCCACTGGTGAGATCCCCCGGGGAGAGCATCTCATGCGGCTGCTGGCCCCTGGCTGAATGTTGGTGCTGTGGTTGCTGATGGGTGATCCTGTGGGGGTGGGGGTGGGGGGACAGGACAGCCGGAGGAGAGGACACTTAAGGCACTTCCCAGATGCAAGGGTTCTCAAGCCCAGCTCCCATCAGAAACACCTGGAGAGCTTGGTGAAAACAAGGTCCAATGGGCCACTCTCAGAGTTTCTGATTCACTGGGTTATGAAGTTCCTAAGTGACAAGTTCCTAAGTGACAAGTTCCTAAGTGATGCTGAGACTGCTAGTCCCGCCCTCTGAGAACTTCTGGGCTATGAATGAGCACAGGTAGCAAGTAGGGCCGCCGTCTGCTCTCCCAGGAATAGCCAGTGGTGTGTCCCCTCCTCACCCATCCTTTGATTTCATGAGAGGGGGGGCAACTCTTGGATCGCTGAGCACGGAAAATCAGGACCTTAGAAACCCCCTGGCCCGGTCCCAGTGGGTTATTGTTGGGGACAGTGAGACCCGGAAGGAACACTGGGACTTAACAGAGAACCATGGCAAGCTCAAGGCACACCGAGGTGTTCCCACTCCCATTCCGGTGTCCTGGGCATTGCCCCCAACTGCCTCAGTGCCGGTCACATTGTGACTTGCCATCTCAGCTCCTCTGAGTATGTCCGCACCTGACCTGGACCTCAGGGGACTCAGAAAATAGTTCCTCGAGGGGCCGGCCGAGTGGCTCAGTTGGTTAAGAGCTCGCTCAAGAGTTTGAGCTCTGAGCAACAGCAGTTCGAGTCCAGCCCGAGATGAGTAGCCGCTGAGCTGCCAACAGGTAGCAGGATGGCTCAGCTTTAAAAAAAAAAAAAAGAAAGAAAGAAAATAGTTCCTCGTGACCCAAACCGCAGTCCCCCTACCAGAGACGCACAAGAGGGGAGCTATGCATGGCTTTGGGGCACACCAACAAATCAGGCGACATCTGACGCAGCGAGTCAGCCCTGTCTGAAGCCCTGCCCTTGGGGAGAATGGATTCCTTCCCCGGACACAGGGAGATGGCACAGAAGAGAGGTGGGGCCGGCATGAAGAAGCAGACGCTGGAGACGTGAGTGTGAGACCAGCCCTGGTCCCGACTCACTGATCCGCCCAGAAGACAAGTTGACTCTCTGTGCTTCGGTTTCTTCTTTCATAAAGTGAGGGTTCCAGTAATAATACATCGCATTCATCGGTGCTGTACGGTTCTTCAAAGCACTTCTGCAGCGAGAGCATCAAGGAGACTCACAAATCCGCCCAGCAAATATATACTGAGCGTCTGCTGTGTTCTCTGATTCTGATCTGGGCTCCAGAATCCAACAAAACAACAAAAATCCTTGGCCTCGTAGAATATCCGTTCTAGGTTGGGGGAGGGGAGAATGACAAGTAAGTAAGCAAAACACGAAGCATGAGATTATGATCAGTGCTAAGGAGAAAAAGTGAGTAAGGGAGGTCAGGTGAGATTGTAATTAAATGCTCTGTGGAGGGTGGGGGGCAGGGGGGAGTTCACGAGGAAGAGAGACCCTGTCAGAGGTGCCAGGTGAGCAGAGAGGGGTCTGGGCACTGGGAGGGACAGGTGGCACTCCGGGCAGAGGGCAGAGCAAGTGCCAAGACTGCAGCGTTCAGGGGCGAGGTCAGTGCTGACGCTGAACTTGAGGGAGTTCTCAGAGTTCAGAGCCAGAGCTCTCCGCTTGAGGACGAGACGCGCGTGATGACATGGCTGGACTGACCCCCGTACCTGATGCTTATAAATTGACCAAGCCCATCCCCAAACTCTGCTTGAATTGTAGGACACGGAGAAGGACGGCGGCCACTCACACAACCCTGACTGTACCCCAGCATTGCACACTGTCTATGATAACATCCGAACACGCCCAGACCCCCAGGGGGCGGCGCTACACCACAGAGACAAGGGCAGTGAGTGGTCTTGGCAAGAGCTGTCTCCTCCACCCTGCGCCCCGGTCCCCAGGTACTCCTTAAGATAAAGCTGGGACTGGATCCCAAGTCTTTCTAACCATCCTACTGAGACAGCAGAGCAGCAGGAACTGATCCCCTGGGCTCCCCACAAAGTTTTCTCACCGGACAGATTGTGGGCAGTGATCTTGCTACTTAACACCCGTGTATGAGACGCGAACCCCTCAGCCTTCAGCCAGACTTCTGACCTGGGACCCACTGAGCCCTACTGGGGAACGCGTTGGGCAAGGCGGCACCTGAATACAGATGGTCAGCGGTCAGCGGTGCTTTCCTGGAATAGGGAGGGTCCTGGGGCCCGTTGGGTGGGCGTCAGGATCTCACGACCCACCCATTACCCTGCGTACACAGATGGATGGCTCTCGACTGTAGAAAACACAAGAGGCTACAGATGCACGATTCAGGGTCAACTGCGTTCTCAAAGGAAGTAGGGTGAGGGACGCACGTTTTTATTATGTCCATCACCCACCAGGCTTAATTTTTAAGCACCAGGAATGTACTGTCTCAGAGTGTCTCGAAATTCAAGTCACAGTCCTTTTTATTTCTATTGCAAAACATGTTTATAAGATATGAAAGTCAAAAGGCATATCTTATTATAATGTGTCACTATTTTTGTTGCTGTTGTAAATGGGTCTTGTTCACATTATAGCTTCTAGCTAGTTGATTAAACTAGCTAGAGCACATACATAACATATATGAAGCCACGTTATTAAATTTCTGTACTGTTTGTACCAGTTTTCATTTGATCCCTTTGCATTTCTGGGTAAATAACTTGTTTATTCCCCCAAAATAATGTTAAATAAAGGTGATGATAAAGGATATCCTTGTTTTGTTGCTTACTTTACTTAAATGCTTCTAGTGTTTTCCCATTAAGTGTGATGTTGTTTTATGGTTAAGAATATATGTTTCTCATGTTTAAACAAAAAGTATGTATTTATTCCTATTTTATCCAGGTTTTTTACCAAGAATGAAATGTTAAAATTTATCGTTTCCCTTTTATCATCTGTGAAGATATCATATGGTTTTCTATTTTTCACCTATTAGTAATATATTCATTAATTTCCCATCTACGAAGTGGAGTAACCAAAGGCCTTCCCTCACAGAGCTGTTCAGAGGGTCAGAGTTAATCCATGCAGGCTCCATGCAGTTCTGGCATCTGACCTGCTGTGCGCATGTTAGTGTCACCCGCCACGCCTGGCCCCGCCCTGCCCTGCCTGGCCCCGCCCCGCCTGGCCCCGCCCCGCCTGATGGCCTACTGTCTCCTCCACATGGACCACACACCAGGCAGTCCCTGTCAGGACCACCCTCTCTGACTCTGTCCTCCTGTGAAGATGCCTCAACACAAAGCAAGCACAGCCCAGCAAATGCCTTCCTCACAGGCGGCCACCCACAGTACCCAGTTTATTACCAAAGCGAGAAGACGAATCGTAAACACTAACAGGGCACTTGCAGGCGCCTGAGGCCGCCAAGCACAGGTCTGAGAAACACCATTCTACGAGCAACAGGCCCAGCGAGGCAAGAGCTGGAGGGGTGGGGGTGCAGGAAGTCCCCAGCACATGGCTGGGGCGGGGGGAATGGGGTCCCACATGTGCCCCTTGTGGCACAGGAACCCCATTCAGTGGACAGTGCCCCTGTGTGGCTTTCCCAGAGGGAGCAGACAGCGTTCTCTAGCTGCTGCTGCCCGCGGTCAGGCTGCCTTCCTACCCGCCCAGGCAGCTCGCACACCAAAGAATGCTAGCCATTAGGTATGTCTGGTCCTCTAGGTCACGTGCTAAGAGTTTCCTGCCCAAAAGCCAAGTGAGAAGGAATCCCAGTGCACGTGACTGCTGAGGCAAACAGCAGATGAAATGGAAAGACCCCATCAAAGGTGAAAATGCAGCGGGGAAAAAAAAAAACCAACGTGAGGCCTGCACACGTTTGGCTCTCCAAAGTAAAGGAAATGAACAAAAGTTTGCAAGAGACTGATGAAGCCAGAGACGAAAGATGAACTAATATATCAGAGTGTGAGGTGAGGGGAAAGCTGAAAAAGTGATGGAAGAGAACGTAACCCTTTTACATCATTTTAGAATGCGGAGAATGCAGTTACCACCACAGGAAAGCAAGCCAGCGGGATGGAGGGCGGGGTGAGAAGATAATATCGAAAACAAGAGGAAGCGATTGGTACAAAGAGCAGCATGGACTGACAACAGGAGCCAAGCACAGGGTCCCCGGCCTCAAAGAGGAGCGGGAAGGAGTGGGGAGGAGAGGTACTGAGAACACTGTCCATTCCGTCCCTCAGAGCCACCCCTCTTCTAGCCGACAGAACCCTGCCCGGTGCAGCTGTCAAGTGGGGAGAGCTAGGGTTGGGGGTATTCCCCTCACCTTGTGGGGGGGGGCGTGTGACCCTATTCTGGCCAGTGACATGGAAGAAAAGCTTACTGGGGGCTTCAGAGGACGCCTTCCATCCTGATGAGACGGAGAAAGGAGAGGAAGTGCTGCCCACGCTGCCCATTGGCTCATGCCTTTGGGGGAGCAGAGGCGTCGCAGAGCAGCGGGCCGGTGGGGGTGGCCGGCGCTGACCACAGCTCACCTGTGAGCTTAAAGCAAGGAGCGGTGTGCAGACTGGGAGAGGCAGATGTGCACAGGTGGTAAGGGCAGGAGTAGACAGTCGGGAGGGACGGGCTTGGAAAGCTGGTTTGTGCTTTGTCTGCATTTGCTAATTACAGAGAGCAGTGCAGGGCGGTTGGGGTCACACGGGATGTGGGGACTGAAGGTCAGTTTGGGACTTCTTGTCCAAGATGTTCACGAACCAAGTGAATGCGTGTGTCTCCTCTCCTTCCCCAGAGCCTTGACACGACAGTGAATTTATCTTGTTTATGTGTACAGATCAGTGTCCGGGAGGGCCAGGAAGAGGACTAATAGACAGAGCCGGGCTGTCCGGAATACCAGTGAGAGGGCCCTGCCCAGACCCCGGACTGATTACATCGGAATCTCTGGGATCGTGCCCAGGGGACAGCATTTCAGCAATGACCCAGGTAAGCCCAATGCACAGCCACATCTGAGCACCACTGAACACACACGGGGGGGGGGGGGTACAGCGGAGGAGGGAGCCTGTGTGCCCAGAGGAGCCTGTGGGGATGCCGTGCCCAGAAACGTCAGGTAGGAAGGAGGGTGAGGGAGAAGGGGGCTGAAACAGGAGACCCCTGGGAGGTCTGTGCATGAACTAGCCAGCCCCTACCCTATGCCAAGCTCCAGGCACGGAACCTTCAGGACCCAGGCATTTCTTTCTCAGAAAGAAGGTCCTTCCAAAAACCCCGAACGCGCTGTCTGGAGAGAACTCGGGCCGCTCATGTGAGTGCTGGAGCCTCAGCCAGCCCCCTCGTTCTGACATTTAGGGGTTCCCCAGCATAAGAGCCAGCTCCCTGCCCCCACCCACAGTCTTTAAATATAAGAGGACAGCTGAGGGTCACCAGCCATGCAACAAAAGCCAAAAAGCTGCCGCAGGGGAACCAGTTCCAAGCTGTGGGAGAGATGGGGACAGAACCACAGGAAGTCATAGGACACATGTCAGTTCGAAAGCTCCAGAAATAGCCTGAGAAGCTATTCTCAGAGACACAAATAACCTCAGAAAAAAACTAAAAGCAAAAATAAGAAGAAGCGGTTGCCTCTGGGGAGAGGAATGAATTGAGGCCAGCAGGAGACCAGACTTTTCAGTACAATTTTTAAAACCACACGCGTGTATGACTGGTGATGTGGATCCTTAGGCTGTATGCATTCTATGCCGCTAATTGTGGGCGTTTAAAGAGAAGAAATCGGATCCCAGAGCAGTCCTTGTCCAACTTGAACGTGCTTATGGTTACCTTGGCGACCTTGTTAAAAGCAGATTCTGACTCAGTGCGGGGGTGGAGCGAGATGCACATCGTCCAAGCCCCCCAGTGGTGGCCATGCCACAGGTCTGAGTAGCAAAGCTGTGGGCTGCACTGCCCACCAGGTGGAAGCGTCTGAAATCCATCCCGCGGGTAACTGGGAACCGCAGGCTCTGTTAGGATGGCACGGCCTTCAGGAGGCCTTGAGCCACAGGGACAGATGAGAGTCGTTGCAAAACTCCAGGCGAGAGATAAGGGCCTACCTACGTCAGGCAGTGACGGGGGCGAGGTACTAGAAAGAGAGACGTGGCTAGGATACAATAAGTTGGGGAACGACTGCATGTGAAGGGTGAAGGCAAGCGGGACACCCCGCTTCCCAGCTGAGAGGGCGCTGGACCTCTAGAGATCCTGGGCGGGGGAGCCGCAGCCTGAGGGCCTGCGTGCAAGGGGCCCGTGGCACCTCCAGTGGCTGGTACTGTGAGCTGTCAGAAAACACCTATATTGGTCTCCGCCCTGGTTCCTGGCACCAAGTTCCTAAAACCCTTGCCGTTTCCTAAGTGACAACACAAGGAGTATCCTTGTTCTAATGTTTGTCTTTGACCCCGTCCCTGACACAGGGCTCCTAAAACCTTTGGAAATTTCTAAGTGATTAAAGTTTAGGGAGCATCTTGATCCTAATGAGGGGACTCTGGGTGGGCTCCTGGGTGGGGCTGTCACCAGAAAGACCAAGCCATCAGGAGAAGCTTGGAATTTTCAGCCCCATAGCCCGTCCTCCACAGGGGAGAGGGCCTGGAAATTAGAGTTATTCATTGGCCATGCCTGTGTGAGGAAGCTCCGTAAAGTCCTGATAGTGGAGGGTTCAGGGCACTTCCGGGTTGGGGCACACGTGGGGGTGCGGTGCGTGGAGAGTGGGCCCAGAGAGGGCGCAAGTGCTCCACCCCTTTCCCTCAGGCCTGGCCCTCTGCATCTCTGCATCTGGATGTTCACCTGGGTCCTTTATCACATCCTGTAATAAGCTGGGAAACAGGAAGTAAACTTGTTACCTTGAATTCTGTGAGCTGCTGCAGCAAATTAATCAGACCCCAGGATGGGGTCGTGGGAACCTTCAGTGTACAGCCGATTGGTCAGAAGCACAGCTGACAGTCTGGACTTGTGACCACATCTCAGGGAGAGGGGGCAGTCTGTGGGCCTGGGCCCTTAACCTGTGGGGTCTGATGCTCTCTCTCCAGTGTACAGTGTCAGGATTGACACCCAGCTGGTGTCACAGAAGGGCTTCGGGTGGGGAGCCCCCCACAAAGCTGGTGTCAGGAGTGTGCGAGGACAGGGCAGCACGTACAGCACCAAGTTTTTCCTACACGGTAATGCAGAGCATGAGCCCCGAAGGGACAGGAACTAGGAGGAAGTACTCCAAAGGCAGGAACTGCCCACCACGGGTCAATGTCAGGAGCACACCCAGGGCCTACGCCCAGCGTGGGTTCTGGCTGTCCAGGCAGCTCTTTTGCGCTGAGAGCCAGACAAGGGCCCTGGGACCACAGAACAGGCCTGTGCTCAAGGAGGTTGGACTCCATCTGTGGGCTGGGCTCAGAACAGCAGCTCACATGCTCCCCACTCGGGTGGTGAGGCCCAGCAGGGAGATGGGGGCACGCCCTGAGGATGGCTTCCATCCCTTCCAGGGAAGCTTACTGAGAATAGATGAAAGGCTACACGTTTGTGGTCTTGGGATAGTCACGTTTGTTTCATTTTTGTATACCTTTTCCTTGTGGAATGCTTTCTGTAAAATCTGTAATATGATTTGCTGTGGTATCAACAGAGAACAGGGAAGCAGCTGCCGGGGTCTGTGTGAGACGGTGGGAAATATCTCCCCTTGGTGAAGCGGCTCAGGCTGAGAGAAGCCACTCGGGCGGGTGAGGGGCCCCCAGAGCTGAACAAAAACGCCTGTGCCCAGGTCACTAGCCAGGGCTGCTGTGCCCATGGCAACGAGGAGGCCTGGGGGGTGGGCAGGGTGGAGGATGGGAGGCAGGGGGTGATATGAAGGGCTGGGGGAGGGGCAAGGGGGAGAGTGTGGCAGTGGGTCACAGGGCATTGGGTAACCCGCTCATGCAGGACCCACAGAACAGGCGTTTCCCCAGGTCTCCAGTGTGTCAGGGCAGCCAGGGTGCGGGTGGCGGGGGGGAGGGGTCTATTCTTCCCAACACCCTCCACCCCACACTTTCCAGTTTAAAAGCTCTTAAGCCTGTGACAGGCGGCCGCCATCATTATGGTCACCTTCCCATTTACAGAACGGGGGACTGGGGCTCCAGACAGCTCACCAGGTAAAACCCAAGGCCTGGAGGCCAGGATGTGGCTGGTCTTGGACTGGAACGAGGAGTCCTGCCTCCCAGAGCTGAGTCGTGCTCTCAGGGCAGCGGTGTCCCCACACGGGCTCTAAGCCTTGAGAAGCCACACTGAGGGGCGGGGGCAGGCCTGTCCCAGAGCGGCCTCTCGCCTCCCTCTCACGGCCCAGGCAGAGCAACCAAGGCCTGTCTGTGTCTGTGGCTGCAGCTCAGCCTCACTGAGCCCCCAAGGCCACTGTTGTCCAACCACAGCCGCCTCCTCCTGCGCTCAGTGCGTCACAAATGGCCAGACCTGCAGAGGCTGGTGGCCTGACAAGCCTCAGCTGGCCTCCCAGCTGCACCGAGACCCTCCCAGTCCGAGCTGCAGGCTGGTGCCCCTGCCCTGACCCTGGGGCAGTGCACATGCTCCTGGGGGCACAGTCTGGCTTCTACCACCATCCAGTCAGTCACGCCAAGCACAGGCCCCTTGAAACCTGGAGAAGCCCCACTGGGGGACCCTGCTCCCACCCCCAACCTGTGCCCAGCTCCGGGCAGGGTCCTTTTGCTGGTGTCATTTCCTGGTGACACCAGCCTTTGTGTGGGACTTCCTCATCACAAGGCCCCCTCTCAGCTGCTGGCTGCTGGCCGGGTTCTCAGCATTCTCACCAGCACAACCTCTACTCACCCCAGCTCAGGCCTCACCCCCTCCTCCCCCACTCACCTGGCAGTGGGCGTCCTGTGGTCTCACCCTAGTCCCGGCGCTGCCTGTGAGGACGCTGGGGTCTCACATATGCTCTCCCACAAGACAAGCAGCTTTCAGCTCAACTACACGTGGCAGCTGGTACTGGTTTCTATTCAGCAAATATTTACTGCACACACCTGAGCCTGGGCACCCACAGGGACTTCCCTTCCCAGCCGGTCACCACCTGCTGCCGTTGAGCCCTGAGGCGTCTGCACCAGCAGCATGTCACCAGCACCCCACCTTGTGACAGACACAGGCCCCAGAAGGCTCATGATACTGCACTCTATGTTGAAAGGAAGGTGACCTACTCTCCACTGGTGTCCCCAGGGCCCTAAGCAGTCTGTCACAGGTATGCTGTCACTCCAGAGCTGACACCACAGCCCACCCCATCCTGGTCATGTCTGGGTGCCCCCCTCTTTAGGACCCAGCCGTGACCCAGCTGTTTCATCAGGAAGAAAAGGCAGTCCTTCCCCAGCAGGAGAGGAAACCAGTTGAGGGGGTGGTGTCTGCCATGTGGCAGCAGCTGAGGGAGTCACAACAGCAGTTTTAACTGAGTTTGATTGCCACCTTGAGACCTAACTCCCTGTCAGACCAAAGCTGAGGCTTGCTTACTCCTCACGCACCCTCCTCCTCCACTGGCCATCCCGCCTGGCCACAGGGGCTTTCCCGGCCGCCTCCCCACACCACACCACCCCCAGCCCTCGCCTACCTCCCCACCAGACTGCTTCCTAAGGGCACAGAATGACTGTTTCTTTGGGAGCCCAGCTGCTTAGAGGCAGCATCCGACAGACAGGTATTTATCCCATTCCTGCTTCTATACAGTGAAATTGTGAGCAGACCCTCAGGGCCCCATCTGTAAAATCGGATAACACCCACTTCGCAGGTTGTGGGGCCTGAGCCACGGGCAAACAACGTCGCCCCTTAGTGGCTGAGGTCAGAATTGCCCAAAAGTCACACATGTGTTCTGGACTTGAGGGAAGGCGCTCAGAGAAGAGAAGGGGTGGTGAGTGTCTGGTGAGGGTCAAGACCACGGCTTCCGAGTGGCCATCTGGAAATATGGAAAAGGACTGTGGGTTCATCTTGTTTGGGACTTCTAAGTCGCTGGTTCGTTCCTC